CTCTTCGGAGAACAACTTTATGTTTAATTACAACAATTCTCAAAAATAAATAAATAAATAAATATTTACATTCACATTTATATCAGATGTAGATGGGGGGGGGGCTCATTTATAACATACAAAAACCTGAAATACAACATAAAACAAATAACAAGCAATAAGGAGGCAAAATAGTGCCACAAGATCCGACAATGATGACAAAGCAAAAAGACAGACAGACAAGAGACAATACGAGACAATACGAGACAATACGAGACAATGCGAGACAATACGAGACAATGCGAGACAATACGAAGTGACTGGGACATGGCAGATAAGCAGTTAATGTTGGAGATGCTGAAATTGATCAGATGTGTATGTGCGGGGTTTGTACTAAAAGTTTATAAAAGTAAGTGTGTGTATGTGTACGGAGAAGGAGGGGGGAAAGGGGTTAACTCTGGAGATATACACGGTTTTTTTTCTTCCTCTCCTTTGCTCTGAGGCTATATTTTAGTAAAGTTATTGTGATGGAATATTAAGAAATGTTATAAAAGGGTTCCAGGTGTCCTTAAAGGCTGACACATGCACAAATGTCTGTTGCATTTTAACCACAGTCATCAGCTAGATGTTGTGGTCAGAGGTGGAAAGTTCAGGTTCAGAAAGTAAAAATCCAGGTCAAGGTTTTGTTTCAGACAGCCAGTTGAGAACTCTGTTACTCTTTATACTCAACTAGTTGGTTGAAACAAAACCTTGGCATGGATTTGTACTTTCTGGACCTGAACTCCCACCTTGGGCTGAAGCCGCCTTTACCTGGAGATAAACATGTAAGCATAAAGGAGAGTGAACGTGTCCCACTCGCTTCCTTCAGACCTACCAGCAGATCTGCCTCTGACCTTCACTGTAGCCCCGGCTTGTGTGTCTCAGACTGAAATTCAGTGAAAGCTTCTGCCTGTACTCCAGGGAGTCCTGTTTAAAGCTGTGAATGTCAAAAGGTGGTCTGAAAATCTGACATTGAATCTAGATTTTTCTCGAGCTCTCTGTCTCTGGAGATTTTATTATTTTTTTTCTTCTTTTTTTTTTTATATATGCCGCAGTTTCCACTCCAAATTGTATTTTAATGTTCTGCAGTAGTATTATGCATTAACACATTTAATGTGGGGTTTTGAGTTTTGTTTGCATTTGACCAGTTAAGCCGTTTTGGTGGTCTACCGATTGGACTGGAATAGCCCAACAATGGCTCATGGGAGTTTTACTTACACAAAAATGTTCTGAGGGCAGGAAGAAAAATGATTGATTCAGAAGGATAACCAATCAGATTGTAGAGGGGGTTGCTCCAAGCAATTAGAGGAGGCAGGATCAATCAATCAGATGTCTCGGTTCCACCTCCTCTATGTGCTTGGACCCACCTCCCTTACAATATGATTGGTTATCTTTTTGAACCAATATTTTTTTTGCCCTCAGAACATTTTTGTGCAAGTAAAACTCCCATGAGCCATTGTTGAGCTATTCTAGTCCAATCGGGAAGGGCATTAGACCACCAAAAGGGCTTAATTGGTCAAATGCAAACAGCAGCCAGCAATGGGGCCTTTGACCAATGAAAAGCCGACTCTGACTGTGGTGCCCCTCTTCCACCACGCCCCCAGGAAACATTCACCACATGGGCTCTGATCCCATGAAATCCGTCGGCAAGGCGGTGGAGGAATCCACCAGCTGGGCCAACGGCGTCCTGGCCTTCATCACTGACCTCCTGTCTCCCGATGAAGATGAAGGTATTTCTCACACTGCACCTGTTTTCCTTTGAAATATGTGAAGGTAACATACAGCTGGGATTGTGCAGCAAGGATATTATAATACCTCTGAGGCATCAGATATTAGTTTAATTAACTTTATTTGATCTGATTGCAAATGTGTGCTAGTCTCATAGTACCAAAAAACAGGTTAATTAAATTTAAATTAAGCTACACGATCTGACCTCCACCCTACTGCGGGAATCGTCAATGGGTCCTTCAACATAAAAGTTTCTCCAAGCTTGGGAAATTAAATCTGCTCCCACAACCCCCCCCCACCCCCACCCAGGACGTTTTTTTAATCACCAGAGTGAAGGCGCTGATGCTGCGCCTGGTATTTGGTCGATATATTGAGAACATCAAGGCCAACAAAGGAGTTTAATTCTCTCATCAACCACAACATTCACAATTCAGGTTAAGTACCATGTTTTTAAAGGAACCAGAGGAGCTTCTTCTGGCCTTTCTGGTGTTCCAGTACCCTAAAACCTCATGATTACCACGACCGCCGTATCTGTTATCCCATAAACACGAATGCATTAATGCTCGAAAAAACCTACATTTTGGGAAAGACTGAAAGTGGAAAGTAGGACACTATGTCCGTCCAGTCAGGCGATGAGAAGGTGCGAAGCGGAGGAGCCGCGATCTGCCGCAGCCCCCATGCCGCAAAGCCCTGTGACCCTTCTGTGAGTCTCTGAACATGAAATCCTCACCACAATAAAGCGCCAAGCCAAGGAGCAGCATTCTGCTAGGGGCGCAAGCACTGGCGTCATGCAGGCAGAGATCTGTGCATCTCTCTGAGCAAACGTAACATGTCCGAATGTTAGTCCTGGGGAGTCTGAAGCCTGGGGAGACAAATTATAATTTATTTGAATCTCCCTGTACTTGACAGAAAGATCAGGAAATTTGTGAAGTATAGGATAAACTCTATATCCAGCAATGTGTATGCTCCTGAAACTGAAAGCAGAGTGTTGTTCTAACATCACAGTGGTTGTGGGTTCAAATCCCAGGGTTTATGCGTAAATCGTAACCCTTCACCGTGAGTTGCTTTGGGTATCAGCATCACAAGACTGAAAAACCCTTCTTCAATATGTTTTCCAAACACTTGTTATATATCTTGTCAATGCAACTTCATGTGAAAGAAATGAAGGCGTTTGGTAACACAGAGCGAGACGTGCCTGGTTTTCACTCGTGGCAGAGAGAGAAGTTGCCCTCACACTCAACACGGAAGGATTAACTCAGCATTATAAACCCTTTATACATACAAGTCTGTTTGAAACTCAGTGGTGTTGAACACAAATAAGTTCTGAATATAGTTTACATATAAATTATGAGATTAAGCAATGTTAGATACTTTAGAGAAATGACAAGGTTCTTAAGAACTTAGAAGAGATTTAATTGTATTAGTTGACAGTAATATCAAACTGTAAAAATGATGTTTATTGGCAAATCTGGGGTGAATTTCTGTTATTTGAGATTTTTTCCCATTCAGGGATATATACTTAAAATTTATCAGTAAAGAAGTATTTATTATTTTTATATAATTTATCAAAAAAAAATATATTCAGAGTTCTTGGCAGGATGAGCCATGGACTCCGTGCTTAGGATGATAGCAGAGGCCCCTGTGTGACAGGGGCCATAAAAACATTTGGAAGATCGTTGGATTGGTGTAGGTTGGGACCCCAATATGAAATGCGTGCATTGGGCCCAAAGACTCCAGAGGTGCCCTAAGTTGGGATGAACCCTGCCTGAGCGTGTAAATCCAGCCTGCCCATGACTCAGCAGGCGTGGCCAGACTGGGGGGTCCGCCTGAATGGGGGCGACGCTGTCTGCGGCTTCGAAGGGGGTCCTGCTCCCCATGGGGCCCGTCTCACGCTCCCTGCCGGCAGCACAGCTCCCCGTGTTCACAACGGGCTCTGCGACGAAACACGTAAATTAAAAGATAAACAAATAAATAAACCACCGGATTCATAAATAAACAGATTAATTACTAAGCCCTGGCCAGCGGATAAGCTTATTCACTTTATTTATAGTTGTAATTTATTTACACGTAGGGGTAATGCTATCCCTGCAGCTAATCTCCTTGAGAGGTACACCATCCCCACTCCAGCGGGGGGGCCGTCGCTAATGTCTCAGACATCAATCAGCCCATGGCTTCTGATTGCGATCTTTTTTTAAAAAAAAAAAAGAGACTTGGGGGGGGATTATATTTGAGTATTTGCTGGGGGAGCGCTCAATTTACGGATAAATCTGAGGGGTTATTTTTAAGTCTCACTTGAATAGAGTTGGGGCGGAGGGAGTACTGTATGAAGCAGAGGTATGCGTGAGCCTGGAACTGGGCGCTGGGTTTTCTTTTGAACTGCGCCGAGCATCTTTTGAATTCTCATTCAGCAGTTTGAGTTCGTCCTGAATTCGTGTGACAGCTCCATGCTATGATCTTTGCACGGGACCCTCTGCTAAGTAAACATCCTGCTGCGTTTCATCGCAAGGGTGCTATTATTAGGGAAATGCGCGCATGCGACTCGCAGACGTGGCGATTGCAGCCACTGCCCACCAGGCTTTCAAGAGGGGAAGATAAGCTGTCTTTATTCCGGGGAAAGTTTTTCCAACCCCCCCCCCCAGCACCCCCCAACTCTATGACCCACATTTATAATTCATTCTGCCTTCATCAATGTTTCATAAAATCTATTCTGCAGGTTCCATTCACATACTGACATGTTTTTCCCTGCGATTTAGGTGACCTGGCGCATGCAGTGAAGAAAAAAGGTTGGTGTTTGTCTTTTAACGTGATAAGTGCTGTATCATTCATTCCAAACTTTTTCTTTTTTATCCGAAGTATAATAAAAGACGAAGATGCCGACATCCTGTGCAGCGGTTTATTATAGCGTGACTCATGGCACTTTTAAAAGATGGCCACCATCTCGCATGTGCTTCATTAGAACGGCACCCAATACCGTTACCACTTCATTAGAGGTCCTGATTGTATCAAGTGACAAAGTGCACCGCCGTCTAATAAAGTCACAGTGAATGAGGCCTTCAATGTTTCCTCGAACAAAGGCTGAAGCTGCTGCAAGGTCAGGAGTTGGGGAGGAGAAGCAGTGAGGTGCCACAAAAAAAGATGTTTACTGCCGCTTGGCGATCCTCCGTTCCCTGTCAGTCCGCTGTGAAGTGATGCATTCTGGGGCATAAGCGGTCCTGAGCAGAGCTGCTCTGCTCTCCGTGCTCGCTGAATATGCATGAATCTGCTGCTACCTGACAGGCCCATAGTTACTCGTAGGTATAACTTGTGTCAAAATCAGCCGAGATCAGAGCCTCTCGGTCCATAGTCATATTCTGAAGCATCTTTAAAGATCTTCAGATCCTTTTAATCTCGAATTTAAGAGATTACTTTTATGTCGTGTGTGTGGTTAGCATAAGAAATTCTACTTCCACATACCAAAAAGCAGAATGTTTACATGTCTTCTACTGATAAAATTTTGCCTTATGAAGTTGCCCCATAAACTTTATAATTCATCAGAGTTTGCTACTGATTTAATTGCGAGTGAGGTGAAATGCTGATCAGCTTCAATTAAACATTTAAAATCAGGAGTCAGATAAAAAAACCTCTGCAGACTTTGGGGGATCCAAAGTTTATTTCAGAAGTCGCTGTCATCCAGAAGAACTTTAATAACTCCCAGTTTTACCTTTTACCTTATCCATTCATCCATCCATCCATCTATCTATCCTTCTTCCGCTGCTCTGGCTCCGGGTTGCAGGGGCAGCAGTCTTGGCAGAGAACATTAATATCTTAGCTTATTAAATCTGCAGCCATGTTTTCCAAAGCACATTTGACCGAGCAGCTGGTTGGGTATTTACTGTGTCTAAGTAGCACTTATATCCCTCTGACTGGTGCAGATGATAGACACACTGAGCGGTGATGCGTGGAGGTGCATTTCAGGGACTGCCGCTTAGACCCGTGGTCATAAAGTATCTGACTTTCAGATCTTGCGCTCGTTTTTTGACAATTATCAGAGCTTTAATTTTTACGTTTCAGTATAAGTGTAATTAATACGTTAGACGGAAAGAGCTGACGTTCTGAGCCGACAGGGGAAGGAAGAATATTGTGCCTGAGACAGCAGCAGTTTAACTCCCTGTACCTTGCTGGTGCATTAATTAGATAGAGCTGACATCTCAAACAGAGATCAAAAATTTTGTGAGCACCCATACTCTATAAACCTGGCCTGCCTCTGCTTTAATCCCAGCTATAGTTCAATGCCAGCAAAATAATGAAAATCCTTGGTCCAGAATATGCCTCGCTCTAGATTGTTTCCATTTTCCATTCCCAAATCGCAAACCCATTAAACCTTGCGATACAATCACTCCACCTTCATAAGCTTTACTTATTAACGTTCCACGGGGACTCAGTCCACATCAAGAAATTTGAAATGAAATTCGTAATTTGACTTCTTGTTTAATAAACCGTTTGTCTGTCAATTTTAGGGGAATTTCTTCCATCCAAGAAGAAAGGTTTGTGACTGCCTGTTTGTGAATGGCTGTCGCAGCTGAATGTATGTAAAATGTGGAATGTGAACAGCATGTACCCAGATTAACCAGTTAACCTGCATTATGGTTTTCTGATCATTAGGTATCGGAGGTCTCAGGTGGTTGGATGTCCAATCAGTTTCTAGACAGCTTAATCACTGGAGCCAAGCTAATCTGTGTACATTAATATATCATTCACCAAAAAGCGTGGAACAGTGTTCATGTTGTCGGAAAAAACAAGTTTCCATATTAAGATCAGAGCTGGTCAAAAACAGTCTTAAAGTACAATCTAGCTGCTGCATAGTCCCAACAAGATTGAAATATCAGAAATTGAAATAAAATTTTAATGTATTTGGAAATAAAGCACCATGATTTCTTTTCATCTAACTATGTGATTTATGTATACAATAATGTGAAAATATACATGTAGGTGTAAAATGGCATGTCCAGTGCTGACAGTTTAAGACATCTAAGGTTTCAGTTCTGCAGCTGCAAAACTGATGGCCAATAAAGAAGAAGATGAGTCTTTAAGGGAGAAATGCATGAACGCCGTGAAATCACTGGCTATTGAGAACGAAGGTGAAGATGATTTTTATGATGATTATTATAATGACAGCAATGGCAGCGTTGACTACGGTTATGATTATTATAAGGATGATAAAGACAAAGTCGTAAGTGAAATGAATGAGAGCGATGACTATGTGGAGGAAGAAGATGAAGATATCACCAAGGTTAGAAATGGCAACGATGACCATGAGAATTATTATACTCATTACTGTTATCATAAGGAAGAGGGTGATGAGAACATAAAGCAAGCAACTGAAAGGGTTAATGTAAGTGAGACAGAGGTGGATGGGGACCCTGATGATTAAGATAAAGTGGATGATGAAGATTATGGTGATTAATGTTACTAAAGATGCTGAATATAAAACATTAAGAGCGGTGATGATGGAGATTAGGATGACGATGATGATGATGATGATGATGGGGAAGTTGGTGCAGATGAAGATTCAAAAGTTCATGTAGATGACCACAATGGAATGGATGACAAAGATGAATATAAAGATGATGTTTAAGAGGATAAAACTGTTGTCAGATTTGATAATGATGGTCACTTGATTGTAAGCAAAGTTCTTGATAATAGTGATGAAGATTATGATGATGATGAGGATGATGGCATTGTTGTTAATGATAATGAAGATGCAAATACTGAAATAAAAGGAAAATGAGAAGATGATTTCAGTGTAGGGCTAGGGTGACCACCTAATCCATGTCAGGAGGGACACTATGAGCTACAACAGGATTTGTAAACTACCATTTCATACATTTCATACATTTCAATTAAAAGGACCAGGATTTCACTTAAGCACTGGGTTCTTGCCGTATGCTGATTGGTCAGTCTCCTATAATCATGCATATGTGTCAGT